ACAAAAATAATGACTTTATTCAACAATTTCTTCTCTTCCGAGAGTTCACGAGAGTACCACGATGCATGCGTGTGGTGCTGCTGAAACAGGAGCCGGCGTTCTGACGTAGAACCCGGATGCGCTGTGCCTTCTTTACAAGCAGAAAAAGATGCACGCATGTGTCGTGGTACTCTCGTGAATGGCGGCAAAGACTGAAATTGAGAGAAGAGAAGAAATTGTTGAATAAAGTCATTATTTTTGTTTTCTTTGCGCACAAAAAGTATTCTCATAGCTTAATCTGTTATGTCCCTGTTGAAAAGATTAGCTTTGCTGCCCACTAGCAGTAGCATGTTGTCTTTTGAATGCTGGTGTGCTGATGCCCCTACAAGGCTTTTTGAAAAAAAAGTTTATCTCATCATTTACTCTCTGTCATGTACAAATGTGTTGCTCTGTTTTTTTATTTATGTTTTTGGTCATACAGTGAAAGTCAATGGGGTCCAGATGTTTCAAGATCCAGTGGTTTTATCCAAGACACTACCTATATCCTTTTTTAAGCTTAAAGCTTTTGGATCAGTGTTATTTTATTATCACTAAGATTATATATATATATATATAATTTTTTTTTGTCTATATAGTGTTTATTCATTTTTATTTAGTTATTTTAGTATATCAAGTTAAACTAAGTAAAATATTAAACGTTGCCTTGGAAACGAGTTTGCATAAGTTTAATTTTTGTTATTTAAATGAGTTAATTCAGTAACAAAATTATTATTATTATTTTTTTATGGCTTTAATTTTAGTTAACAATAATAACTGTTTTGGACCCCCCATTGACATTCACTGTATGAACAAAAACAGCAGAAATGTTCTTGAAATAAAATAATTTTATGTTCTGCTCATGAGTTTGAAACAACATGACAATGGAATGAAATAATGAGAGAATTATATATTTTTTTGACTGAACAATCCAGTAGCATTCAGCTTAACCAGCAGCTCTCCTTTGGTAAACCACACAGACCAGCATTAACCAGCAAGTCTTTTCAGCAAGGCTTGCAAACCTCTGGCTCTTTGTCTTTGTTTTTTCTTTGCCATTCTCCTAATATGCTCCCAAACAAACACACAGTCAGTCAAACGCATGACAGCAAACAGTCGTTATATGCAGTGCATCATTATCATCCCTGCTCTGAGTGAGGACATTCATGTAAACATCCACAAACTTACAAAGAAATATATATATGCATGGCATGCCCTGTCGGAATGAGCCCATGGCTGTGAGGCATGAGGTGATGCTGATGGCAGGACACCATCAGACCACTTCATGTCCCATTCGACCCCTCCACGGGCAGTAACTGGGTGGTGTTGGACATTTCGGAGGGATGCGCCAGGTAGTCCGGGGTGCAGAGGGTTTGGCTATTTTCTTGCAGAGGCCACATTTCCTGCCACGTGAAGGAAGGCAGATGAGCCGGGTGGCTGCTGAGGAGGGGTCTCCGCTGCCTGTAGTTGGACCACACCTGCAGCAGTGTCTCTTTGAATGGCCGCGTGGTCAGCGTGTATAAGATGGGATTGAGAGCGCTGTTGATCGGCAGAATAAAGATGACAACCCACGAGCTGATGGTTCCTGCAGAGGGTTCATTCAAGAAGAGTATTGGGGAGAAAATTATGCATTGAGAGTTGATATCTCATGTAATTTTTTGCTGATTGTTTTTCTTTGAAAAATAATTTTGGACAAGGCAGTCCACTTCTCAACTGCCCATTAATTATCTCTGGAGATATCACCAAAAAAAAAAATCTTTCAGTGAAATGTCCTCGAAAAATATAGCTTGAATTCAGCAATCATAATGAAGCACAGTGTCATTTGCCCAGCCATTGTCGAATATTATGTGGATGGAAAGAGCATTCAATGGGCCCTTACTCACCAAGCATGCACACACATGAATTTGTGCATGAAATCTGTGTATAAATGTTTTCACAAACATTTGATTCACCAAAATCACAAAAAATGATTCTAAATTTACAGGAAATATGTAGGGACAACTGTAACCAAACATACACAAAAAACACATACTCTGGGTGGCCTTATAATCGTGTTAAGCTGAAATGTTTTACTCCTGTGCATACAAATACAAAATAATCCATGCAATAGAGAATAAGACCCAATGTTTTTGAATACTGAACATACTTTGAAGGCACAGTTCATCCAAAAAATACAATTCTGTCATTATTTACCCTCATGTTATTCAAAACCTGTATGACTTTGTTTCTCCAGTGACACGCAAAAAGGCGAATTTCTGAATAAAAAGCTCCATAAACGTAGTCCACATGACTTGTGCACTATATTCTAAGTCCTCTAAAGCCATATGATGGCTTTGTACAAAGCACATCTTTATTCAAGTCGTTTGTGAAAGGAGTGAACAAAACATTATTTTGAGTCAAATCTTTTCAATGAATCAGCTGAACCAGTTCCAAAATCTGTGTGAAAGATTCATTCACAAAACTCTCAGTGACTCGATCCAGTTTCAGCAGTCAATGTCAACTTTCTCAAGTTTCTCACGCAAAGCTACAAGTCATAACTTCAGATGATTTGGAATATATAGCCATAGGAACTATGCTAATGACAGTTTTATAGTGCTTTTGCACAATTTTTGAAGCTTAAAAGCTCCAGCCCTTATTCATTGCAATAATATGCAAACGAATGATCGGTGAATTATTGAAAAATGCCTCTTTTTGTGTTTCACAGAAGAAAGAAATGCATATAGGCCAGTAACAATGTGAGGGAGAGTACCGACTAGTAGATAATGAGAGAATTTTCTTTTCTCTAGCTATAATTCTTAAGGTGAAGTAACACTTTTGCAAACCCTTTGTATTACATTAACTTTTAGATGCCTTTAACCTGAACAAAAAATATTGTTTCAGCTCAATATAAGACTCATCCTTGAAGAAGTCAATGGCCCTGAAGACTTTAAATGGCCCCATGACACACTTACCAGGTATTTCAACCTCCATAAGTGAAAGAATCTTGAGTATGAAAATGGGAATCCAGCACAGCGAATCGGTGATGACAATGGAGAAGAAGCGTTTGGCAATGGTCAGCTCTTTCTTAATGTGGTTGCTGTATTTGGTCGTCTGTGTTCCTGTTCTCTGGATATTGTAAAACATGCTTCCATAAGACAGTACGATGATGAGAAAAGCCACCAGATTGAGACCTATTTGGAAACAGGATATGTTTTTGACATTGTATATAGCACTGAAAAGCATTCATCAATTTGAAGGATGACCTCATTACAAAACATAAACACCACAACAGTACACTTTCAGGTCAAGAAAGATTAAGTTATTGTTGAGGTGATTGGTCTTGTTGGAAACCACCTCATTTCCTCAAAGCCCTCAGTCCTTTTCCCCAATCTAAACTTACACCTCTCAGTGTGACCTCTATCGCACAAACAAATTGAACACTCACAGAGAGAACAATTTCCTAACCAGGAACAAAAGAGTCCAAAACAACTCCCTACTGCTTTAAGAACAGGAAAGTTAACAACTTTTGAAGGAGGAATTCTAATGCCTCAAATGTTAAAAAAAAAATTAACAGTGCAACATTGACCACCCACTTATCCAGCTGTCTCAGTTCCAGACATGCTTTTTCTATTGATTTTCTCCATAGGGAATCAAAACATACATAAACCAGACCAATCAGCTCTGAGATAAACTGAAGAATAAATAACATTTTTATACATATTTAATACACTTAACTTTATAAATTAGATTTAATATATATAGTTGTATGAAACTATGATAATATTTCACAATATTACTGTTTTTACTGTATTTTTAACCTAGTAAATGCAGCATTGGTGAGCATAACAATATTTTTTTTTATATCTAAAAATGTATTTATTTCAAAATATTAATATATCAAACTATATAACAAAAAAGACATTTAAGGGTGTATGAGAATTGTTCTAACTGGTGGCTTCAATAAAAGCATATACCATTAATTAATGACCTCAGAGCTCATGGTAGGTCTGTCTTAAATGATTTACACAGAATCATTAAAAATAAAATTTTCTATAGAGAAAATGACTGGCATTTTTAAGGCCAGAACCTGCCTGTTGTGGACTATTGTCTAATAGAGCATCTTTTGAACACGATTAAAGGATTCTCACGTACCCAGAAAGATCACAATGGAGTAGATTTGTGCTCCGAGAGTCTCTGGCTGCTCAGAGTGCAAAGGGAAACACACGCCATTGGTTCCATAGAAGTTTCTGAAAACCCCTTTACAGACCAGAGGCAGGAAAGCAATAACAAAGCCCAAGAGCCAGATGACCGCCAAAATGGTAACAGTGCGTCTGCGGCCGGGGGTCAGGTATCGGAACGGATAAACGATGCAGATGTATTTCTCCAGGGTGAGGTAGGTGAGAAGCAGAACTGACACCTCAGTTGAGAGCATGGCTAGAGATCCAATCACCTGACAGGGTACACTATCCATCCAGGCCTGAGCGTGTCGGTTATACTCGCCCCGGAACTTCAGGTCATACGCGCCAATCATGAAGAGGTAGACACCCATCAGACCGTCTGCACCTGTGTAGTAGAGAAAGAGCTTGTAAGCTACACAAAGCACATAATTTTTATGAGTTACATGTGTATTTTACATTTCAGGAAATATGTGATAGTAATTTAATGTAATATAGA